ATAACAGGAGTATCCACCAATGCTTAGCCTTATGGGAAAATGGGTTGAAAGTTCCACTTTTCTAGTACAGAACCACACATCCATGATACTGTTTGGATTGAGATGAAAGAGCAGATCATACATTATGAGGGAATTCAGGGGGACACAACAAAACGCATCCATACATAGAACTAGAACAGATAACTTCAACAACAGTTTGGAACTTGAGATAATCCCTGTGCAATCTTTTTAAGAACATAGGTCAGTAAGTACGCTATCAAATAATTTCTGGCAAAACGTCACAATAACATAATTGTGTCATGACGCTGTGGAATCAGGCGCTCGTCAAATTTTGAGCATGTGGAGTTATAGAAGGTATCATCTGAAAGCTTGTTCATTTGTCTATTTTTAAAAAATACCCTTATATCTTGAACAGAAGTTGAGATATTTGCTATTAAAGTTGTGGGGATGGCCTGGTTTCATTGGAGAAAATGGCAGCCACAGTATTGTGATTTCCAAAGATTGAGAGCACTTGGAAACTGAAAATTTAAATTTTCAGTGCCTTTATTCAATGTTTTTCAATAAAATGCACACAAAAATATATTTATAAATGGACATAAAAGTAATTAGAAGGTGTTGAGCTAAAAAACAAAGAAAATGGGACAAAAATTGCCAAACCAGCAGAAAAATGTCGATATCTTCGATTTCTTCATTTTGACGAGCGCCTAATTTCACCATGATGCCTCACAATTTTGCAATGGACAAATCAAATTATTCACTGTAGTTATCCGGAAAATGGAACAAATAATTTGAGTTTTTAGGGACTATTGTCTTCACCCTTCAGTCACTTTCTGAGTCTCATCCACCGTATTCATTTTTTATCTGCACATCAAGTGGTCAAGTGTACAGGGAAAAGTTTTTTTTTTAGAGAGGGGGTAAAACGGTTCACTCATAGTTTTGCACAGCTTTTGATGCAATGAGGGTAAAACAAGTGATAGACACAGATCAGACTAAAAGTCTGTCCCAAAAAAATTATCTATATTTGTTGAGTCCAGAAGGGCTTAAACTAACATAACGGGCTACAAATAAAATTATATTTGCAATGACAGAAGAGGAAAGACAAAAAAACCTCACCATTTTAGAGCACTATCCAAGAACTAACACACAAGCACGCTAACACAATCCTGGACCAACAGTGCTCTCTTTTTCTTACAAGTCGCTACCTTGAATTACAAAGGTCTATCTGACATGTTCGGCTGTTTTGAGTTACTAATACCATGAGGTCAGAAAACCAATGTTCTATCTGCTCTATCAAAATAGCAAGATTATTGGGAGTTGTTAGCAACATCAAAGAACGGCATTCGAAAAAGCTTGATATGTTGGGAACCTATCAATTTTTCATGTCAAATTTCTCAAAGGAAGAGGCTAGCCGTACTTATTCTTAATATGATGGCTAGACTGACCATTAAAAAAAATATAGGCCTACTGAATTGTAAATATACATTTTTAGTTTGCAGTACCTAAAGTATTTGTATTTGAGACAAAACCAGGTGCCTTAATGACAGTGTATGTATTTTAAACCTCCTGTTTTCTAATGTTAATAGAGCCTTAGATAAGTACGGCTAGTAAGTACGGCTAGACTCTCAGGCTAGTACGGCTAGCCACTTCGTTTCTCAAAACTAGGTACTGAGCAGACAGAAAATTGTAATTCTAAGTTTGGGAAGTGGTCTCTCACAACATTCAAACAACTGGAGGCTAATATATATATACATATAGATTCTGCAACGCTTATCCACTTAGCAGGTGGCTGGTGAAACGACAGACTTCAGGAAGGAAAGAGAAACAAGGTGGGAGTAATGAGGACAGGTAATATCACAGCACAGCTTGGCATTTACATCAAGGTCACAGGTCACCACTGAGCAACACCAGAGTTTTGTAGTCCTTGAACAATGATGAAAAGGTTGGGGGTGGGGGTGTCATCAACTGGCTCTGACATGTGCACCTACAACTTGACTGTCAGATTTTTCCTTTGATATGAGAGCAACATAATTTGACTACAGACTTTTAGACAATTTTACTTCAGGATTGGTATTCGCAGAACGGATAACGGTACTTTAGAGTCATTTCATTCAACTAGCTCTCACAGTTCTATGTGATAAATAGGTATACTGAATAAGGTGCTTATATGGCTTCATCTAGTGAACACCCAAATCGGTACTTGAAGAATTCTTCATAAAAACAATTACAGACAGTCCTACTTTAGTTTTAGTAAGAGTTTTACGGCACTTGCACCACAATAAGAGTCCTACTTTGTTTTCTCTTGACAGGTGCAGTTTCACACAAACAGGGAATTTAGGGAAGATGGAAGCAGGATTTCTTCACAGAAGCATTCATTGCACATCAGTCTTGCAGAATCAAATACAGCAATTAATGATGGCAGCAGTTTGTTATGTTAAAGTATACCTGCAGCTGAAGGAAAAGTGAAAGACAGAAACGCAACAACAACGGAACATTGTCTCAAGTACTTTAAGTTATTGCATATCGCTCAGAGATTTAAATTATACAAATATACACCAATCTGAAGGTGAACAGACACCTCGACAGTAGGATGCAAACAGAAAGGATGGATTACACGTGATGATGGTAAGATCTTTCAAAATAATATGATTAAGTTCGTTCAAACTCCATTCCACGGAGACAAACAAACAAAATATTGAACACATTCGACACTCAACAATTTCCCACTTTTCTGATATGTTGTGTGGTACTCATTCATCCATGATTAGAGAAAACAAAAAAAACCAATATAATAGCACAACCTCAGCTCACAGTACGCTTGTTTTTGTTCTCCGTAAAATGTAGATCTTCAAGTTTTTACGCCATAATCAACCCAACTTAGATCATTTAAGAGGTGGGCTTGGATCTGCCTGTGTGGGCCAACCTGTGGTGTAAGAGGGAAACAATATCCCAACAGAAAGACTGAGATACTCAGTAAAATTCTCACCATTAAAAAAACAAGCTCAGGTCTTCTGCATTCGACAGCGAAGTGCCGAATGGCTACATCATAGACTCCTGTTCACGGCATCAAACATACAGAAACTTTCACTCAGAAAAAAAGCAGATGGTACGTTCTTTGGTTTGCATCATAAAAGCTCACAACATTACTTGCGACATTAAACTCCAATGAAGTAACATTAGAAATCTGAACAATCATTGTAACATTGCCATCTGCCACAACCAGTAACTACAACAGTTAAACGAAATGTTTCGAAAGTACACACATGTAGACAGTACCAGACAGAGAACCAACACCACCACTGATGAGAAGAAGCGTGCTGAATGTTAAGTAGATATCTAGTCATCAAGACACAGAATATATGGCTGTGCCCTCTGCTAAAATTGGAACAGACAGTGTAGGATGGAATATCTTCACTAATTTTGTAGCCTGTAATAACAATTATAAAAGCAAACATTTTCTTAGTTTAGTAGGTCTATCCAACACCTGAACAAAGTGACTTCAAGTCACACAAAACAGCATGTTGGCAAAAAGATAGAATTTGGACTACTTGAACTAAATTGCAATGTTCCTGAAAACATGGTTGTTGTGGCGAATCTCCACTTCTGTTCATGAAACATATATGAGGCAGCAAGGTGAAATCAGGCGCTCGTCAAAATAATGAAATTGATGAAATTGGCGTTTTCCCGCCAGATTGGCAATTTTTATCGAAAATTTGTTTTTTGGCTCAACACCTTTTACCACCATAAAAAAGCCCATTTCTGCATGGGTTTTATTGAAAAACGTCCATTAACAGGCACAAAAGTGTAAATTGTCAGTTTCCATGGACTCCCAGGCTATGTAAATAACCACATTTTTGCTGCCAGTGTACCTTTGAAACCAATTAAGCGACTCCCACCCCCTTCAATAGCAAATATCTCAACTCATATTCAAGAGAAATGGGTCTTTGGTTCATCGAAAGCAAGGCAAATGTGCAAGCTTTAACTCAATCGCTACGCCGAGCCGTGGGGGGGGCGGCGCGGCTAAAGAGCCGTCAGTACGCTAAGCCGACCCCGGCGGCTCGAGAACCGACGTTCAATTTTAGCTTGGTTTCTATTCCAATCCACATGTCCATGTTAAAATAAAGGTCATAATATAAAGTTGACTTCCGGGTCAAGCGTTTCCACCGAAAATTTTCATTCAGTTTTGAAACACGATTTCAAAGTTTATGCGACGTTTTATCGCGAAGCCCAAATTATAGCCAGACACCAGTCTTTGTACTTTTACACAACAAAATGTATCATTATTTTGCTCACTAAAGAAGTCTAGGACTCTTCTTTATAATATTGATACTACTGGACTCAAATTGCCAGTGCACTGTAATTGAGAAATCAATATTTTTGAGTGCTAGATCTAGGCCTAGATCTAAATAGTCGAAATACTTTTTTCTCCCCAAAATCATTACTTTTTGGTGAATTTACTCAAAAAGTACCACCCAAGACATGTATAGCTTTATTCCAAATGCAAATCTTAATAATTCCATAAAAGATACAAGTGTTTTTTTCTGTTTGGGATCCTTTTTTCAAAATTATAAAAAAAATATTTTTTTTTAAATATCGGAGGTTATGATCCAAATGTACAAATACTATGGAATGTATGTAAATAACTGCATATTTTTCAATATTTTCCTGTTCTATATACAGTTATGGTTATTTTGATGTATCATTTGACTAGATCTAGGAGCAAACATATTTTTTGAGTTTCATCAGAGATTATACATTTTTTTGTTTTCAAATTTTATCCGCAGCCAATCACAATTGTGTTGCATAATCACCTCTTACGGGAACCAAAGTTGAAAAATACTCAAATAAACAATACAGATGTATTCTACAAACCATACTGAAAATGTTAGTATAATATGTTGATATTTATTTGAATTTATGGCCCCCCCAAGACCTGTGAACTGCGCACTATAGTCATCATCTCATTTCACCCTCCAGAAAAAAATTCGTCCACAAGCCGAAAATAATACATAGCGAATGAGTTAAGGAGACCAATAACTCCACCTGCCCGAAAATTGAGGAGCGCCTGATTCAACCATGCCGTGACACAAATAGATATTTCTGCTGTCCACTTTTATCACACCTGTTTTTGTTCTGCTACTTTCCAGCTGACTACTGGGCTGATCTTGTTTACAGAGACAAAAAAAGGTAGTCCATGAGACAGCACAGGAAGCAGAACGTTGGATGTGCCATCATTAGGAAGTTTGTACAATAAAATTTATAAATGCAATACTTGTTAGCCTAACTGTAACACCATTTGGTTAATTACAAGCCCTAAAAAATAAAGTTCTAGTATAAAAATTTGTCTAAAATGGCGTGAATAAGACTGGTGACCAGCTGACAAGCTAGTCTAAAGAACCTCCAGTGAGTTCAACAGCTTTAACTGTGCAAAATAGTAAATGACAGACTATTTTTAAAAAGTATTTTAAAACATTCATTTCTGACAAACAAAGAAACATTTTTAAAAAGTTACGATGGTGTACCCTGTATAAAATATTAATTTTCTCCCACAGTTGTCAGCAGGATAAAGATAGCTTGACTTTCACATCTTTGGCAGTGCTGATTCTTCTGATACTTTTGAAAAAAAAGAAAAACAAACGAACAAAGACAAAAGAAAAGAAAAGAAGGCAAAAGAAGAAAGACAAAAGAAAAGACAAACAGACAAACAGACAAACTACTGAGGGGGTTTAGGAAAGTGCCGCACATCCACGGTGGAGATGGGCGGGGAGAGAAAGACGATGAGAATTGCGAGGAAGACAAAGAAAATGCCGGCCAGATTGCGGATGGCTTTCTTGTTGGAGCGCCAGTCAAACTGAGACACAAACTCCCGCACTTTGGACAGCAAGGTCAGCACTGTCTCCACCCGCGACGGCCTGCTAGGGGATGGGGAGGGTGTCAGGGTCATGGGGAAATAGAACAAAGAGGAAATAAAAAAGGGAATGAGTACCACGTCAAGATTAATTGTGAGGCATCGTGGTGAAATCAGGCGCTCGTCAAAATAATGAAATCGAAGATTTTGGCAATTTCCCTCCAGTTTAACAAATTTTAAAAAATGTTTTGCTTTTTGGCTCAACACCTTTTGTGTTTTTTTAAAAACACATTTTTATGTGGATTTTACAGAAAGGCATTGATTAAAGGCATAAGAAACGTATTTTATCAGTTTCCAAGGACTCTCAGCCTATGGAAGTTGCCAAATTTTGGCTGCCATTTTCTCACTAATTTTACAACTGAAACTAGATGACCCTAACGTCCTTCAGTTGCAAATATTTCGACTTCTCTTCAACAAAGATGGATATATTTTTCACCAAAAGTAATGTAAATGAACAGGCTTTCAGATGATACCAATAACCCCATATGCCCAATAGTTGACCAGCGCCTGATTCCACCATGTCGTGACACATTTTTAAAGAAGGAAAACTTGCAACCAGTTGTTGTTTACTACGCAATACAAACACACACAAAAGTTATGAAAGTTTCGACTTATGAGATGCCATGAGATGAGATGAGATCTTAAAATCTCTAACAAAAAAGATTTGCTGCCTAATGGCAAAATACAGAATAATATGCACACATACACATGTCAACACTCACACCCACAATCAAACATACACATACACATGTCAACACTCACACCCACAATCAAACATACACATACACATGTCAACACTCACACCCACAATCAAACATACGCATACACATACACATCATATACACACTCTTTGACATACACAGATGATAACTGCAGTTAATTATAAGTCAGTGTAAGTACAGATATCTGCACCAACTATAAGTCAGTGTAAGTACAGATAACTGCACCAACTATAAGTCAGTGTAAGTACAGATATCTGCACCAACTATAAAGCATAGCAATTGTAGATAAATACACCAACTATAATAGTCAAATTAAAGTACACACACACACACAAACACACACACTCACACACACTCTCTCACACACACTCCCACACACACACACACACACAGACACACACACTCACTCACACACACACTCTCTCACACACACACACATAGGCCTAGGCCTACACAAAAACCCCCCCAACACAGCGACTACAAACGACGATGTAACAGTAACAAACCTGGCCAAGAGGTCGTCATCCTCCTCCCCAGCCTGATCCACCCGGTCCATGACCTGCTCCAGGCTGTGGCTGATCGAGTTCTGCTGTTCCCGCAGGTCGTTCAGCTCATTGGACAGCTGCGCTTTTAAACCTTCCTCAAACCTGCAAGCAGTGACAATTCTTTAGACGGTGGGAAATATCTTGGAGTCAAAAGATGTACCATGATATGTGTCACGACGCGGTGGAATTGTGCGCTCGTCAATTTTTGTGCATGAGGAGTTATTGGTATCATCTTAACTCATTCGCTACGCCGAGCTGTGGGGGGCGGCGCGGCTAGAGTGCGGTCCGTACGCTAAGCCGCCCCCGGCGGCTCAAGAACCGACGTTCAATTTTAGCTTGGTTTCTATTCCAATCCACATATCTATGTTAAAATAAAGATCATAATATAAAGTTGACTTCCGGGTCAAGCGTTTTCACCGAAAATCGGAAGTTTTGATTCAGTTTTGAAACACGATTTCGAAGTTTATGCGACATTGTTTTATCGCGAAGCCCAAATTATAGCCAGACACCAGTCTTTGTACTTTTACACAACAAAATGTATCATTATTTTGGTATTTTTTTACTCTCCCTCCCGTCTCACACTCAGCTACCAGTTGTCTATTTTCTATTAAATATTGATGCGCTGAACACGAATATCAACTTCATTTCCGTCGCAAATTAATAGTTTTTGAAAGATTTGATTGTTTTTAACCGAGATAGACACGCTTTGGAGAAAATCTGGGGGGTTACAGGGGGGCATTTTACCCATAATTTGATATTTTACAGATAGATTTGAAATTGTCTTGAAAATAATTGATTAGCGACAGTTTTAGTGGCTTTATGTGTGATCTCCAGCAAACAGTACAGCAGTTTGACCCCTGAAACAGTGCATCCGTGTGCGGGAATGAAAGTAAAAATTTACCATTATTTTGCTCAATGAAGAAGTGTAGGACTCTTCTTATAATATTGATACTACTGGACTCAAATTGCCAGTGCACTGTAATTGAGAAATCAATATTTTTGAGTGCTAGATCTAGGTTTTTATTATTTTTGGCTTGTGGACGAATTTTTTTCGGGAGGGCGAAATGAGATGATGACTAGAGCGCAGTTCACAGGTCTTGGGGGCCATAAATTCAAATAAATATTAACATATTATACCAACATTTTCAGTATGGTTTGTAGAATACATCTGTATTGTTTATTTGAGTATTTTTCAACTTTGGTTCCTGTAAGAGGCGATTATGCAACACAATTGTGATTGGCTGCGGATAAAATTTGAAAACAAAAAATTTATAATCTCAGATGAAACTCAAAAAATATGTTTGCACCTAGTCAAATTATACATCAAAATAACCATAACTGTATATAGAACAGGAAAATATTGAAAAATGAGCAGTTATTTAAATATATTCCATAATATTTGTACATTTGGATCATAACCTCCGATATTGAAAAAAAAAAAATTTAAAATAGTTTTGAAAAAAGGATCCCAAACAGAAAAAAACACTGGTATCTTATATGGAATTATTCAGAATTGCATTTGGAATAAAGCTATACATGTCTTGGGTGGTACTTTTTGAGGAAATTCACCAAAAAGTAGTGATTTTTGGGAGAAAAAAATTATTTTGACTATTTAGATCTAGGCCTATTTCTAGCACTCAAAATATTGATTTCTCAATTACAGTGCACTGGCAATTTGAGTCCAGTAGTATCAATATTATAAAGAAGAGTCCTACACTTCTTTAGTGAGCAAAAATGATACATTTTGTTGTGTAAAAGTACTAAGACTGGTGTCTGGCTATAATTTGGGCTTCGCAATAAAACAATGTCGCATAAACTTCGAAATCGTGTTTCAAAACTGAATCAAACTTCCGATTTTTGGTGGAAACGCTTGACCCGGAAGTCAACTTTATATTATGACCTTTATTTTAACATGGACATGTGGATTGGAATAGAAACCAAGCTAAAATTGAATGTCGGTTCTCGAGCCGCCGGGGGCGGCTTAGCGTACTGACGGCTCTTTAGCCGCGCCGCGCCGCCCCCACGGCTTGGCGTAGCGAATGAGTTAATCAACGTTTTTCAATATAATTCACATGGAAATGTGTTTTTATTCGGAGATAAAAGGGTTGAACAAAAAACCAAATATTTGATTAAAATCGCGAAACTGGAGGGAAAATGCCTGTTTCTCCAATTTTGTTATTTTGATGAGCGCCTGATTTCACCACGATGCCTGACATATGATGCGTGGTGCGGTGAACTACACAAAGAAACAGTCCAAAATAAAATAACATTCAATGAAACCTTGAAAGAAATCATGGATTTAAATTATTGTATTGGTCTCAGAACATTCTGGTCAAAACAGTTGCTTATCTTCAAATAAGTCGTAACTTCAACAGATTAAAACTTACCCCACAAAGACTTACTTTAAAAGTCGACTAATTTCTGAATCCGAGCTACCTTTACTATGTCAGGAATTCCAATGATCTTGAGGCTTACCCTTTTCTGTAGGCATCTTCATCCACTGAAACTTTTCTCTCACTCTCTTTGGTATCTCCACTTTCCGGTTCTCTGAAAGAGAAAACACAAAAATCATGAGCATTACTCAAGACTTAAGAACTACTTGAAACAAAAACTGCCAATTTTCAAGAAAAGTCTGCATGCTGAATACCATATTCTCCTGCCCCAGACTTCAGGTGTCTGATGACAAACTTATACATTTGTGAAAATATCAAGCATGCACACAGAAAGACACACACATTGCAAACAGATTTCAGGTCGGGAATTAAAAAAAATAATTATATTTTGTATTTCAAACATGTAGGCCCTACATAGCAAAATTCGTACTTAATGATAAGATGCTGAATACCTTTCTCCTGTCCCAGACTTAAAATGCTTGATGATAACCTTTATAACTTTGTGAAAATATCACACACACAAATAGCGAATAGATTTTCAAGTTTGGATTTTTTCTGATATTCTTTGTATTTAAATCACATACATAGCAAAATTCGTACATAATGAAAAAATTTTTGCACGCAAGATTCTATTATTATAATATTAGTTTACATATTCAGGTATCAGTCATTTTCTTTTTCCAGATACGAGGTCATCGAAAAGATGGACTAAAGAATGGAGCAGGCATAAGCAAACTGTTGTCCTCGTGCCAGGTATCTGGCCCGCAAGCAATTTCAGTCTGGCCCACGAGTCGACCCAGTAATCAATAATGAACGTGGCCCGCAGAGAGTTTGTAATTGATAAAAACAAAATTGTCCACCTTAAAAAGTAAAACCAACAGATTCCGGTCTAGCTGGAAGCAAAATATTTAGTACTTATCTCATTAAATACTATAGAGTGACATGTCAAAGTGTCAGTTTCAGTCTCACTATTCAACGTTTGGGAAATTAAAATGATTTCACCCAATTTTCTCTTGTTTCGGCCTAAAAGATATTTGGAATCACTAGACTTTTTATTTCTGAGAAGTTGCTCCCAGTGGCACGCAGACGAAGGAACTGTTGTGCCGGTGAGTCGATGACAGCTGCTCGGGCACATTCCTTTATAATGACTTCGATATCAAATTACTTTTCGGCAATTGCCAAAAACAGGTCTCTTTATTCGGAATTTAATTCATTAGATGAAAAAGTATCAAAATAGGTTCATTTATTTTGATTAAACGACCAATTTAGAGAGGTTTTCGTCATTTTTAGATTTAGCATGGTACCAAAAAAGGGCCCCAGCATAGTGGATTTACCCCCACGGAGATAAAGAGTAATCCGTCCAGCAAATTGACTACACTTGCTGCACATATTTAACATTCGAATGTTATTCTTTACTTTTCCCCATCTATACTTCCAACAGCATCAAACTCGTCACAAGCCACCCTTACTTCTCTGTGCCGGTGACCTCTGGGGTCACGGTGAGGGTGGGCGGCGAGGAGACCAGGGTCAAGGGCGCGGCCCCCGTCACTGACCGCCGTCTCTCCATGGACACCCGGCGCATGGTGTTGGTTACCGCGTGCTGCATGGACGTGCTGGCCACGGCAGACTGGAACCTTGACCTTGGGTCCTGCTCACACGGACGACAGAAGGTACGGTTGTTAGTTTGTTTTAGTAAGAGTTCTACAGCACTTGCAACACAATAAGGTCATATAAGTGCCAAAGATTAGAGGTTTTACAAGAGAGTAAACTAACAAACACAAAAAAGAAGGAGGGGAGATGAGGACGATAGATGTTTGATAGGAAAAAAGAAGCAAACCACCCCAGAGCACCCGCCAACAACTCACAGAGAGAAGGTACGAGAGATTCAGGAGATGGAAAATACTTGAACAAAGGGGGGCACTTTAGAATTGTTCATATCATCATCCTCAAAGTCATCGATATCATAATATCAAATCATACCATTTTATTACTGTTATTGATATGGCATGCATTATATCATGTTATTGTCATCCTGCTTTTAATTACTGCTAGTACTGCTAGTATTGCTAGTATTGTAAATGTTATGACTCTTCTTGTTATTGCTTTTGCTGTTATTGTTATTATATTACTGATATTAATATTATCAACACATTTTTGGTCAAAACCGTTATAGTTATTATCTTCATCATTATAAATAACTCCATGTCCCTTTATTCTCTTTAGTACAGTTATAATATGACAATACAAAGCATCATAACTGTTAGAGTCTCGTGAGCAAAGTAGAAACTTCACACAAACAACAAGAAGATTTCACAGAATTCAACAGTTCCCACTAACATAGCTTTGAACGGTGGACACATCGATGTACTAGCAAGGTCAGCAAGGTTAGTTTTAGCATGAGAGTGGACAAAACTAATTTTTTCATTTGTTTAACGACCGACTTCATCCGTCCACTCTTTATACATTTGTTGTTCTTTTCATTAAATCACACACACACACACACACACACACACACAAAATCAAAGTTAAAAAACAAACAGCCTTTTAAGACATACAAATAAACAAGGTATGCCCTACAAATAACTGGGCATTTGCAAGTAGAGCTAAGGTAACTATAATTATACCCAGTAAGTGTGAAGGCCAACTTCACAGACATTGTCTGTTTTGATATTGGTGGACTCTAGACTTCAACAATCAATCACAGTCCAATCAACAATCAATCACAGTCCATACAACAGTCGGCCCACACCAACTTTACAAGACAAAACTCTTCACTGGAAATAACGGAGAGTGCACGCTGACTAAATATTTGTCAAACATTCCACAAGCACATTGAAACCAAGCTGGAGACATTCCATTGTTCACAAAAGGGCAACAATATGCACTGATAATCAAGATTCATAATATTTAGAACAGGGCAATGGACTTACAATGCAAGATAGTAGATACATGAGTCACAGTACACAAGAAAAAGTGAAAAAAGTAGGTGTGATGCCATATTTCAGACATGGCGTACAACACAACTTATATAGGAGTGTACGGAGAGCATCGACAAAGCAGACACATGTCGTATTATTCAGCACTGAGTTTACAAGTGGCAGCAAAACACGAAATGGCGAAGGTGTACAAGACAGTATGAGAGGAATACATCAACTGACGTGCTGGTAACTTTACTGGTGAAGGAGCACATTGCCACATTCAGTAGCACATTACACTTCTTGGGATGAAGCTATTACATAGGTTATATCTTTGATTAATAGAAAAAAAAAGGGATACACTTTCCTAAAAAATATGATGTACAAAAGGCTTTATATAAAAAAAGGAAAACCTACAGACAAAAAAAAAGCAGACTATTTGATTTTTCCATCTGTTGGCTGTTAAAAGCGAAGCTGAGTCACAACAGTATAATATAATTATTAGTTGCAGCACACTTTAAATTGTGACCATGTATTTATAAGCAGTAAAGTTCCTTCTCGATATGGAAGGGAAAAAAGTGTTAGTAAAATCGAGAAAAAAAAGGCTCTCTGTAACAAAATCTGTCACAGGTAAAATGAGGCGGACAGATTCACAGTAAGTATTACGAATATATTTAGGGCCCCTTAACACACGCATACACACACTCTCTCTCTCTCTCTCACACACACACACACACTCTCTCTCTCTCTCTCTCTCACACACACACACACTCTCTCTCCCTCTCTCACACACACACACACTCTCTCTCTCTCTCTCTCACACACACACACACAGTTAGCATGTGCCGATGTACACACAGACACACGTCTCCTTCCTGGCATGGCAGACTGTGATTAGTCAGATACATGTACAAATTTGTCGTGCGGAAAATTGGCATTGTTAGTAAACCTGGAAGTGGAAACAAGAACCTTGCACAGAGAGTGAAGACACTCTACTGTTGGCAGACAAACTCTGTACATAATATGTAGCCTCCCGGGTCGCACCTGACAGACCCACAGACAAATGTATCCTCCTCAAAAAGCCTGATTTTGAGTAAAGAGAAACGAGGAGCACATCGACACAGTAACGGTCATATAGTGCAGAGAAAAAGCAGACAAATAGAACCAAAGTAGGACCAATCAGTGGCGCCCTCAAATCATCTGCGCCAAAGCCATGGTGGCAATGGCATGACAAGGCAGTAGACGGGCAAGAAAGAGAATTAAAAGAGACTTTTTAAAATCCTTTCCACGAGATTTTCTTTTAGAAGATACATTTACAGGTAATCTTTAAAAGATGATTGCCATCTTAACAGAAATAAGTCATGGTAGAACAGTGACCATCTTCATCTTGTCTAACTGGTTTGAGTATAAGCAAGGGGAAAACACATCGACACAATACCGAACATTTAGTGCAGGAAAATAGGAGCACAGACGGACAGAAACAACAGAAGAAAAAATTAAGGAAGAAAAGTTGGATTAGCCAGTAGCGCCCTCCAACCACCAGTGACGAACAGGAGATAAGTTTTTTATAGTCAGACAGGAATGGGGAAAAAACCGAGTGGACAGGCAGAGAGGGTACCAAACATGGACATGACGTGACACACTCACAAGCCTTGTCTCACACAGAAAACCCACCGGCAATATCTGGCACATGGTGAAATGAAAAGACAATAGTGAGATTATCTCAATATCGAATAAAAAATGATAAAAAACAAAGACAAAGAGTGTTCATGTAGATATTTTAGTCAACTGATGAGGAAAAGAAACATCTTGTATAATGCTGAAGGGAACAATAAAGTATTGTAGTCTAAAGAATGTTCGCAAAATCAATATTTCACAATATGACAAAGAGTTAACAGTTAAATATCACCAGGGTTTGCATAGCAACAACCCCTTGAAATACTGAGGACCGTATAACAATCATCATTTTGGACTTTGATCATTGAATCTAGCGCTGAGTACTCCAGACTCAGTCACTGGCAATTAATGGACAGGTCAGGTGAAATAGTTGAATCTTTTCTTTCAGCTGCACTGATTTGGAGGTTTGAAAAAAAACACCATATAGAAAACAGACTAGATTTTCACTTGTACGTCAGACATCATCATGGAAACACTATAAAAGAGAAAAAAAAAGATGGTCTTGTCATGTTATAAAGACGGTGTCAAGATCTTGTTGCCAAATTAGACGCTATACAGGAAGCAAAAATGTCTCGTTACCATTTCAAAAACTAAAGAGGGGAAACATGAACAATGAGTACAAGAGACCGTATATAAACTGAAACATACACTGGTTTGGTAAACCACCATTCTGAAGGATCTGAATCTCCATGTGTTACAATGTTAGTACAGACGTGTGTGTGTCGGTCCACTTGACGGTCTACGGTAAGTCTCACTGGGCTGACCATGGTCTACTTATCGATCTACCGCAATACTGCATTTTAACATAAGCTGTGGGTAGGGTAATTTTTTACATGTGCCATCACTCCCACACATTCAAATGCACTTATTTCAAGAAAACAACGGAACAACCCCCCCCCCCCTTTCTTCCGAACCCCTCCTTCTGACAAACTTCAACCACCAAAACATTTTTAATACAATCAATGACAGTCCCAAGCCTGTATAACCTCGGCGTATCAAGTACTGAGGATAGCAGTAAACTTGCAGACGGTCAAATGAAATAGTTATCAGACTGATCCAGCGGTACACCGTCAAGTAAAACAAAAAAACCATCGCAGTAGACCTTCAAGTGAACCGACACCAACGTAGGATTGAAAAGTAAAGCATCCAGTGAGCACACAGCGGGCAGAACAGACAAATCACATTGCAAGTCACTGGGTGAGTAGATAGCAACAGAGTGGGGTCCGGTGAAGACATCCTCACGTACAAGACAAGTAAATGATTCACGGCACTCGTGGGGTTAGTAAAGTCGCTGACAGTCTGACAATACTTGTGCGGCGAACACAACAGCGCCATAAGGTGGCAAGCGGCAGCTGTATGGTGGCAACATACACCTACACACACACCTTCAAATCTTCTGCTGCATAAGAAAAGATGAATTACACGGAGTTTGATCTATGTTTTGAGACCAAAAAAGTTCCCTGGCGCTCATATGACCTTACGCAGTTGTGAGCGCCGTAAAACCCTCTACTATAATAAAACTTTAAAAAAAAAGTTCCACTTCAAGGTGAGGGATTGTTGTATCCTTTTACGTTTGTTTTAGTGCGCGCGCTAGTGTGTGCGTGTATGTGTTGTTTGTTTCTTGATTTTGTTTGTTTTTTTGAAAATGCAATGGTGATACTGAAAAAAATACATTCTTCTCGTGTGCGTTAGCTCAGTAGCTATCACATTGGACAACACATTTGGCGACCCCAATTAACAGAATCTATTAGTGACAATGCTCCTAACCCTGTGCCAATAATGGAATTATAAAGGTTTAAAATTACCACTAACTTGGCGATAGCTTAAATTGACAAGGGACGAAAAAGTAGGGCTTCCCCTGGGCCCTGTGTACCTTTAATAAGATGAAACTAGCCTCAAAGTCTCAAACCAAACTCCCCATCCCTA